AAGATAATAGAGTCACAAGTACCGTGTTCTTCCAGTATTAATTTCCAGAGAGAACACAATAGAAGGAGAGAGCATGACGAGCCCTAACCTTAACACAGATGATCCTCTCCTTTGCGGTATGTCGCTTAGTTATACACTCCAAATAGCAGTATGACAAGGACCTCCCAGTGACCATTGGTACACAAATTCAGGTCAAAATAGCCTCTTTCCCCCGGCAGCCACATAGTAATATGAAATTCTAATATATAGCTATTTAGAGTTGCTGAACATTTGACCGCTTGATTCAGGAGCATGCCAACAATGACATCTGTCCTCGCTTCTTCCCAAGCTAGCCATACACGTGAAATGTCATCGCATCAGTATGGGTGAAAACCTCGGGATCTACTGGAATCTCACGCCTAGAGTTCTTGAGGACAGAGGTCGTGTAAATAATTGCGATTCGCTAGCTAGTAGGGTTATATAATACTAATGCAAAATGATAAGGCCAATACAAAATTTAATGTTGAATTACCGACTTCTGGTTGAGGACAACCCCGACTCTTTGCCCAGCTCTGAAAAAAATGCACCTTCATTAACTTCGCGTCCAATCTGGCGGTGGGTCATGTTGCAAGCTCGTTTGTGAAACCGAATACACCAGCGTCATAAATGCCTGTCATTAGATCCCTCCCAAATAACATTCCCATCTTTAACAGTTTGTATGGATCAAGTCTCTTGTGGCTCATAGTCTCCCAGGTGTTAATAGTAACTAAGACGACCAGTTTACTATATGCAAGTAATATTTGCGACATTCATTCCAGCCAAATTGAAGCCAGTCGCACATCAATCAACCCTTTATTATCCAAAATCCATTGCGGGATCTTAGGCGATCTAGTACAGTGAATGCTGAATCTGTTTGTGCACCATTCGTAACGATTATTTTTTTAACGAAAATTAGTGGTCTCCAGACCCGATTACTCGAGCGAGGATCACCTGTACGCACGTTGCGGGCATCCGTCAAACTTTGTACAGTCCATAGTTTTGCTTCTTTTTTTCGTCGATGTATGCGCGACACTATATTTATTACTTCGAAGTATAAACTATTAATACTGTGGAGTTGCACACATCAACAGCGGCATTTGCATAATCAGCTGCGTCAACAGTAATCTACAATATCATCAGCGGCGCCGCATAATCAGCAACATCATCAGCGGCGCCACATAATCCGCTGCATCATCAGCGGTGCCGCATAAGCAAGTGGAGTACGCTACCCTTCACTGGTGAAGGATTGAGCGTTCAAACGGAATCTTAATAGAACGCACCTCGCAATCTGCAGCAAAACTACCAGGTAGTTGCTGAATCAGCATTATCGATTCCACTCACTCGACAACAACCCAAGCAGAGAGCTAAAAAAAATGCGCTTCGGCGTCTTCGGTGCTCTGCTCGTGGCCACCTTGGTCTCGTGTTGCTGCAGCGTTGCCAATGCCGGGAAAGTTTCCGCCTTCTCCAGCAAGGACAATCATGACCGCCGTCTTCAAGCTAAAAACATTGCGGAAAGTGCTACTCGCTTTTTCTCGGGACAAGCTGATGACAAATTGCTGAAATATGCCTTGAAGTTGTCCAACGCTGCTAATGGAGACGAAGCTGCAATCAAGAAAGCTAATGATCTCGCAGCTCTAGCGAAGGTCACTGCGAAAGCCACTGATGATGAAGTTGTCTGGGCAACCAAATTCGTAAAGGAAGTCAAGGGAGACGAGGCTAATACCATGAGATATATCCTTGGTTTGGCCCAGAAGGAAGGCAAGGTTCCCAAAGAAGCTACGGCAAAGATTGCGGAGACTGTGAAGAAGGACCCTAAGTCTTGGCCTCGACTCAAATTGTTTGCCAAGATTACCCTGGGTGCTACTGTGGGTGCTTTCGCAATGTACGGTGCTTACGAGGCATTGTTTGGTAAAAAATCACAAACCGGTGCGGCCACTACGACGACGACTGGTTAGGGTCAATGATGATACTCAAGATCACGGTAGCTCGTGACTACCAGGTGGTGGTGATAAGAATGAAGGACAGCCTGAATGCATGTACTTGAACATAATCAGTATATGACAAAACTCTTCTACATGTAGAGAATAACTTAAAATAATGATTTTGGGAATTTGGGCATGACATATACTCTTCTTATGCCTTACTTTAAATTTTTTACCTTTCTGTTTTTTTTTTTATGTGGGAGAGTTTTTTTTTATTGATATATTGTGTGTCTTTTAAAACTATTGACCTTTCGTGAACGGGCACTTTTGACCTGGCTATATGATACGATACAAGCTCAGTCATTAAGGCGTCATAGGGGACATTTTTGCCCTTATGC